GGGGGGACGGGTTCTGACTGTGCTTATGCGCCAAATGGCAGTTCAGATTATCCACCCTTTCTGGAGTCCTTGGAGGGGGTACTGGAAAGTGCACCTCCTGGGGACTCCCTTGTTCTGCTGGGGGGACTTCAATGCTCATGTGGGCAATGACAGTGAGACCTGGAGGGGTGTGGTTGGGAGGAACGGCCCCCCTGATCTGAACCAGAGTGGTGTTCTGTTTTTGGACTTCTGTGCTCGTCATGGATTGTCGATAACGAACACCTTGTTCAAGCATAAGGTGTCCATATGTGCTCTTGGCACCAGGACACCTTAGGCCGCATTTCGATGATCGACTTTGTCATCATCTCATCTGATCTGCAGCCACATGTCTTGGACACTCGTGTGAAGAGAGGGGCGGAGCTGTCAACTGATCACTACCTGGTGGTGAGTTGGCTCCGATGGTGGGGGAGGATGCCGGTCAGACCTGGCAGACCCAAACGTATTGCGAGGGTTTGCTCGGAACGTCTGGCAGAGTCTCCTGTGAGACGGAGTTTCAACTCCCATCTCCGGGAGAACTTTGAACATGTTCCGAGGGAGGTGGGGGACATTGACTCTGAGTGGACCATGTTTCGTGCCTCTATTGTCGAGGCGGCTTACCAGAGCTGCGGCCGCAAGGTTGTCGGTGCCTGTTGCGGCGGCAACCCTCGAACCCGATGGTGGACACCGTCGGTGAGGGATGCTGTCAGGCTGAAGAAAGAGTCCTATCGGGCCTTTTTGGCCTGTGGGACCCCGGAAGCAGCTGATGGGTACCGGCAGTCCAAGCGACATGCGGCTCGGGTGGTTGCTGAGGCAAAAACTCGGGCATGGGAGGAGTTCGGAGAGGCCATGGAGAACGACTTCTGCACGGCTTCGAGATGATTCTGGTCCACCATCCGGCATCTCGGGGGGGGAAAGCGGTACGCCACCAACACTGTTTATAGTGGGAGTGGTGTGCTGCTGACCTCAACTCAGGATGTTGTGGGTCGGTGGGCGGAATACTTTGAAGACCTCCTCAATCCCACCGGCACGTCTTCCACTGAGGAAGCGGAGCCTGGGGACTCTGGGTCAGGCCCTCCAATCTCTGGTGCTGAGGTCACCGAGGTGGTTAAAAAGCTCCTCGGTGGCAGGGCCCCAGGGGTGGATGAGATTCGCCCAGAGTTCCTTAAGGCTCTGGATGTTGTAGGGTTGTGTTGGCTTACGCGACTCTGCAATATTGCGTGGACATCGGGGGAAGTTCCCCTGGATTGGCAGACCGGGGTGGTGGTCCCCCTATTCAAGAAGGGGGACCGTAGAGTGTGTTCCAACTACAGGGGAATCACGCTCTTAAGCCTCTCTGGTAAGGTCTATTCGGGGGTTCTGGAGAGGAGGGTCCGTCGGATAGTCGAACCTCGGATTCAGGAGGAGCAGTGCGGTTTTCGTCCTGGCCGTGGAACACTGGACCAGCGCTACACTCTCAGCAGGGACCTGGAGGGTGCGTGGGAGTTTGCCCAACCAGTCTACATGTTCTTTGTGGACTTGGAGAAGGCGTTCGACCGTGTCCCTTGGGGGGCCCTGTGGGGGGCCCTGTAGGGGATACTCTGGGAGTATGGGGTACCGGGCCCTTTGATAGGGGCTGTTAGGTCCCTGTATGACCGGTGTCAGAGCCTGGTCCGCATCACCGGCAGTAAGTCGGGCTTGTTCCCGGTGAGAGTTGGACTCCGCCAAGGTTGCCCTTTGTCATCGATTCTGTTCATAACTTTTATGGACAGAATTTCTAGGCGCAGCCAAGGTGTTTTATTTATTTATGCATATATAGATTTTTTTTTTCCACAAACACCTCCTTTCTCCGTGTGACACTAGGGGTCTGGGATGGAGGGGGGGCCGCATTGTTGGAGTCTGGGCTGTGGGTGGGCTTTGGGCCTTGGGGGCGGTCAGTGATGGGGCCGGTGCTTCGGTTCCTCCTGGGCTGTTCCGATTCTTTTAATCTAGGTTCCTGGTTGCGATGGCCGGCACTTTGACCGGGGTGGCTGCCGGCTTTCAGCGGGGGGTCGGCTATGGTAGTGTACGTGTGGTCATTGGTGGTGTAGGGCAGCGGTTGGGGGCGTGGCTTCGCCTCATCAGGGCACTGGCTGGTCTTCCTGTGTGGCATTTGCGGTGGGGGTGCTGTGTGTGTGGGGTGGTGCATAGATGGTGTGCTGGGGCGTCTCCGGGCCTATGGTACGGGGCTCTTGATGTGAGGGCTGGCCCTCCTCAGCTGCGGCTCCCTTCTGCTCTGCCCCTTGGGCTGGGGCTGGCCTGTGGTCGCTGTCAGGTAGATGGTGCATGCGGTCGGCCCGAATCTGTGTGTGCCTGTTGGTTGCTCAGGTTGGGTTTTTGGTGGTCCCCCCTCTCTTGGATCAATTTGGGCCCCACCTTTGGTGTGGGGCCCACTCCCCCCGGTCGTGCCCCCCTTTGGCCGGGGACCCCCTTGCCGCCGGTGCATTGGTGGCTCTCGGTGTCTGGGCTGGGTGGTGAGGTGCACGTCGGTCCGCACTGGTTGCTGCCTGGCGGGGCCTGGGTGCCCTGGCTCTGTCGGGGCTCTGCCAGGGGGTGGTATGGCCTTGGGGCTTGGGGCTCGGTGTCCATGGCCGGATCTACTTGGGTGGGGCATGGGTCGCCGGCCGGACCTGTGGGCTAGTTGCTGCAGCTTCCTGGAGGCTCTGCATTGTGGTGGCTGGGGTCACCCGGTTCTTTCCTCTGCTCCTGTCTGGGGGGGTGAGGTTCTCCCTGTTGGGAGACTCCTGGGGCTCCGGGCCTGTGGGCCGCTGTGTGTCTGTGGCTCCGGTCCTCCCTATGTTGCCATTGTGTCCTGGGGAGGCGGGTCTGTGGGCCCCCGCGTCCACTATTGGGCATTCTTTTGGAGAAATCTGGTGGTGGCGGGCGTGCTTGCGTGGGTGTTTGAATTCAGGTGCTTTGACAGATGCACGCTAGGTTGGGTAGTGGTGGAAGCTAGATGATTCCTTGTGTGATATCGAATGTTTCATGGTGATATTGTGGGTGGCATTGTGCTGTGAATGTTGTTTTGTCGTGGTGGTCTCTCGATTTATCTATTTCTCTTTTATTATTTATTTACTCTTCCTTCTTCTCTTTCTTTAAAAAAAGAAAAAAAATTGAGCGATGATGATAATTTCATTGAAACACTTCACAATGTTTCTACACTTAAACTGAGCTCAAGAGAGAGAAAAAAAAAAAAAGAATTTCTAGGCGCAGCCAAGGTGTTGAGGGGATCCGTTTTGGTGGCCTTAGGACTGCGTCTCTGCTTTTTGCAGATGATGTGGTCTTATTGGCTTCATCAGATCGTGATCTACAGCTTTCGCTGGAGCGGTTCGCAGCCGAATGCGACGCGGCCGGGTTGAAGATCAGTTCCTCCAAATCCGAGGCCATGGTCTTGAGCCGTGAATTCTGGATTGTCTACAAATTTGTGTGGATGTGTTGAAGAGTCGACAGCGCTCAGACTGAATGTAGGAAGCTGCAACAAGGAGTTGGAGCAGCTGTTATCAGGACTGTGATCTTCCTGGCAGCAATCATGAATGGTGGGAATAATCTGGAGAAGCTGTGAGCTCGACTTTTGGAGTAAAGGATCAAGTAGGCTGTTTTGGATTTCCATCCGAGGATATGTACCAGCAAGACTTTAAAAGGCAGAAACAACAATTCACAAGTTCTGCCAGACCCAAATTGTGGCCTTGATGCCGGACTTATCTCAACTCCTCCTGGAATGTTTTGGAAACAACAAAGATGCTTTGACTGTTTCTTCACCCCTCCCTTCCCCAAGGCCGTGGACATGTAACAGAACCTCAACCGAGCTGAAGATGAATGTCACCTCTTATCTGGACAATGACTGAGGGGGGGCTCTGGACTATGCTACGACTTTCCCTTAAAAATTCAATGTTTTCACCGGCCTATATGTAAATGTATAATGTCTGTTTATGTTGCTTTGCTGTGGTAGGTTTTTTTGCTGCCTCAAATTGTGCCCTGTCTAGGACACGGTGTGAGAGATCTTATTTTTTATACCGTCTCTCCTCAGGTTTTCTTTCCTTTTCTGATCTAAGCAAAATATTATTCTGAATAAGAATAAAAGGGCTGCGCTAATTATTTATAGCCGCAGCTTCATGCACTCTGCCCATTTTCAGACGACTGTACGTACATATTCGCATTGTATCTCGGTGCAATGCCAATAAAGTTTATTCTGATTCTGATTCTCATACTTGTGGAGTCTTGTCTCGCTCACTGGTTTTCATACTATCTGGGTTCCTCGAGTTCTGACAATGTTAAGTAAAACAATGACATCCTCCATTTTGGCTCTGTATCTTTTCAGGGTCTTTTTCTTCTAATACGTTTAGTGGTGGCTAGTAAATAGCTTAAGAGACATTACTGCCACTAGCTGGTAAAGTGAGTTGGATTCTGGACCCCGCCTACAGAAACGGTCCAGAAGTGCATACGGAAATGCGCATGTAACGAACTGATCTGAGCTGAACCAAGCTGACCTGAGCTGAACCAAGCTGACCTGATCCGAGCCGTCACTGTGGAAAAGGGGCATAAGACCCGGTTTAAAATTCTGTGTGACCTATCCTTTCAGGCCATAGCCCCCAGGCTGTGGAATGCCCTGCCCCTGTCTCTTCTTGTGGCTGTCTTTGTTGATTCCTTTTAAAAAGCAGCTTAAGACATTTTTATTCAGACAAGATTTTAGTTGTGTTCTACTTGTTGTTTTTATCAGCTGTTCTTACCAGCTGTTCTTACTGTTTTTATCAGCCATTCTTTATGGTTTTTATCAACTGTTCTTATTGTTTTTGTTTTATTTTAACCCTGTAGTTTGTATTTCTGTAAAGCACTTTATGATTATATCTATGACGAGTGCTATATAAATAAAGTTTACTTACTTACTTCATTACAACTGTCGCAACACAGTTCAACAAAAAAAAATCTGTAGGTAAACAAAACTATCCTGTATTTATGAAGAGGGTCACCTTTTGATGACTCGTCTTCTATTGGTTGCTTGAAGGCTGTGATGTCATTAAATGTACAGAGAAATAGGACAACTTTATCCTGTTCATTCCTGATAGGAGCAATCTTTACAAAAAACCAGACTGGCATCTCTGCAACACAAACAAAATGTAAATCAGCATGTTTCCATAATTTTTTTTTCATAAAAGAACAAAGTCTATTAATTTCACATGCTTAAGTTAATTCCAAGTTGCCAAAAATATGGGAAATATGGGAAAACTGGTACTTGATTTAGGTTTTTAGGGCTTCAGGTTATAAAAAAATTTTTTTTAATGCAGGCAACACATTTGAAGTACTTACTATTTTTCTTGTACATCAGAATCTCAAAAGATTTCATTTCGTAGTTCTCAAAAGTTTGTCGAACTTTCTCACTAGTCTCCTTGTCTGTCAGTTCTCCATACATAAAGCTGAAAAAAAATTATTGCAGAATTGATAGTCACATACTTATTCAAAGATCATAAAACTGTTAAGTTTTTTATTGGGTGTTGCATTGTTTAATGGCAAGTGCACGTTGCAGTACTTTGTACTTGACCTGTTATGTTGTTGCTGCTGGTCTGAGATACTGCCCCCTCCCCCCTCCCCTTTTGTAAATTAGTCCTTGAGTCTCAATTAGACTAACTTATATAAATAAAGGTTGAATTGAATTCAGCAACTTTGTGTTTGAGTACACAGTTGTACCTGCAGGTGCTGCTCTTCTGCATGACCTCTGCTCGATGGTAACCAGATAGCTTGCAGAAACCATCATTGCTGTAGACAACTGGCCAATCAACAATCTGAGCATTCCCCAGCACAAAATTTGAATCTGACAATACAAAAAAAGAAAGTGGATTTTAAACAGACATTTAATAATCAAGTTAGTACTCAATGGTTATGTGAAAACTCTGGTTGGACAAACAGCTAAAACCAAACAGGTCGCTTTATTCACTTAAATGTATTTAAATTATGTAGCACCGATTCAAAACAAGCGTTTTAGAGCACTAAACAAAGAAGTAACGATTCCATATAATAAACCCAATATAACTATAGTCGGTTCAAATCAATCATATTATAAAACAGTAAAATTAGCATATTACAGAGTGCCACTTAGTAAAAGAACGTTGTGTGGCTAAGGAAGCCTGGCAACTGGATAAAAACCTCACGTTAAGATATACACTATCCTGGGTATATA